CATTTAAAAAATCATATACAGTATAGCAACTTTAAAGTAATTGAGGTGTGTCCACAACAAAATAAATCACACAAGACAAAAAAAATATAAAGTTAGAAAGTTTAAATATTCAGTTTGTGTCTATTTATTGAGTCCGCATACATTTTATCCGCTTCTTCCAACCTTTGTAATTTCAACCCCTGCATGGAGGGAAATTCAACACTGATGATTCTCTCTGCATACCGGATTTTCATGCCTGTCACTGTGTCTGTTTTTAATGTTTTTATTTATTTAGCCAAACTGCAGAGTGAGAGATCAGCACAAGGCAGACTGAGTAATGACAAGGTAGAGGAACAGCGCCTCCTGTTGAAACAATGATAGTCTTGAGGTTCTGACATCAGTCTCTGCTGGGCCTTCTTCTGAACAATGTCTATGTGTAAGGACAATCTAAAGTCAACAGCAACGGTTGCTCATAGGGACCAGAAAATAATACACAGTGTTGTTAAGGATGGTTAAGGCAAGAAGTATTTTCTTTGGAAAAATTACTTGTGTTTATTTAGCTTCAGGTGTTTCTGACCGCACTGGTGCATCAGTTGATTAATCTTCGTCTGTATGCAGACTTCCTTGTTTCGGTATCTGCGGAATTCAGGAGTTAAAGAGACAGGTCTGCTGAGTGGCAGTCTTTTCTCTATAGAGGGAAGAGGACAGTAAAAAGAACAAACTCCTAAGGGGGTACCAGTTAATGATGCTTTTTCAGGAGAGAAAAATATTCACTGTTTTCTTTGATTAGTTTAGGCTTGTTAAAGTTGAGGATGAATTATGTTATCAATCTTGCTAATCAAAACAGCTTTTAATTATAGTATAAACAAAGAGAGAGTGTGTCATTTTTTATGCCATTCCAGCTACCATTTAATTACTATACACAGCGCATTAGATGTTTGATTTCTGGATTTAGTGTTAGCAAAAATTTTTTAAACCTTCATGTGTCCAGCTGAATAGCTCAAGATTTGCTGGTTTCAGTCCTCTTTTAATGGATATTTTTTGTTATAGTGTAATAAACCAAGAATAATCATAGTTGTGTGTGTGTATATGCATTAGAATTGTTACTTTTCTCCATCGTTTTAAATGAACTTTCTTTTCTTTTTTAGCTAAAAGTTAGATAAAACAATATAAAAAATAAAGATTCCTTTTTTTCTCTGTCTATCATGTTTTTATCATATTTGTTTTCTTGCAAAACTGTGCCACAGTTGCAACATTTTTTACCATCATTGTCCGTACTTGTGCTTGTTAATGCATTGTCCATTTGTCCATTCCCCCTGCTCTTAGCAGTAACGATTTTATGGGATTATTTATAAATAAGATTGATTCTATAAAAACAAAAAAGATAGTAAAAGTATGATTGTTTTTTGTCTCTGAAAGGTGAGGCAGCATCTGAGAATCTGAACTGGGTTTAGACTGTTTTGATCCAACATTCCAACTTTCAGAGTTAGCAAAACTATTACCCACATCTAAGCCTTAGGCTTGTATGTTGGATCCAGTTCCAACCAAGTTATTTAAGGACGGATTCCTTAAGATTTCCTCCTCCATATCCCTGTTACAGGGATATGTACCTCAGGCATTTAAGGTAGCTGTAACTGAACCTTTACTTAAGAAATGATGCTTGTGCATCAGTTCATGGGCATTACGCTGCCGTGCATTATGCATAATTTAGGCTGTCGTTGGACATAAGTTCGGGACTCGTTATGAATACTCCACAGTTAATCCTGTTGGATGTGGTTCATCCTTCTTGGTGGCATGCTGACATTACCCTGGATACCGTGGCTCTTGATACATCACAAAGACTTGCCGTC